CTCTCTCTCTCTCTCTCTCTCTCTCTCTCTCTCTCTCTCTCTCTCTCTCTCTCTCTCTCTCTCTCTCTCTCTTCGTTGTGGTCTTTGTTGCAGGTGCGCGGCGGCTTCTCCCACCTTCGGATCCGCTATGGCGGACTATACCCCTCAGCGGCCACCTCTGCTATGGCGCATCAGGCCCTGCACACGACGGCGCGCATGGAATAGCGGGTACCAACTCTGATACCAATGCAATCAGACTCGTTCTCGTTCACACTTTTCATGCATGTAAACAGCAGCACAGCAAACTGGCGACATGCGCCCACTCAAAACTCAGAGATATGGCTTCCAGATACGAGTTCACTTTCAATTGGCTATGGCGACTCAGCGCCCAAACAACTCACTGTTCACACACACCGGATCACCCTGGATATCCCACACGCGTCACTCTGAACTCTCACACTTGCACACACACACTTCACACTAAGCTACAGCTATGGCAGCTATGGCTGCCTCTACCCTATCGCTATGCTACGCCCTTCTCTCTCGCCCACTGTGTCCTCCGGGCTCACTGCAGACCTCCTTGCACAAGTCGCTGTGACAGCGCTTCCGCATGGCTCACGCAGGAATGAATGGAAGGTTGGGCGCTGCCTCTTGATTTATACTTCGGAAACTCGTTGGTCTGCCCTTTGCCATCGGCCCATGGTGCTCACAGTCCCCCGTGGTACTTGCTGGACCGGACTGGGACTGATTGGACCTTACTGCTGACTGACTGTGGACTCACCGCTATCCTACCGTAGTCGTACTGCAATTGCACTGCAGTTTAGTCCACCACTTGACTCACCACTTGACTCACCACTTGACCACTTGCCCACTGCAGACCTCCGACTCTGTACCCACATCCCATCAAACATCCCAGCCCTTGTACATGCAAACTGTGCCCTTGAACCTTGCAACAAACAATTTTTATTTTTATTTTTCGTCCCCTGACACCCTGTAACCCTGTAGAATTTCCACTGAAATACCCGTTCACCCTTGTAGAACATCCATAGGAAACCCTGTTACCTGCCCTCCCTTGTAGATCATCAATAGGAAACCCTGTTACCTGTCCTCTCTTGTAGATCATCAATAGGAAACCCTGTTACCTGCTCTCCCTTGTAGATCATCAATAGGAAACCCTGTTACTTCTTCACCCTTGTCAACCATCTATAGGACTACTCTGTTTCCCCTGCAGCACCCCTAGTTCATCAGTAGGACAACTCTGTTCACCGGTACCAAACCGTGTTCCCTCTTACTCACGCAGCCCATGCCACCCAAATTATACCCCTCTTCCCTTTCGACTTGTTAACCAGTGATCGGCCCCGTCCCGTCCTTCACAGATTTCAGCATTGCTTCATGATTTTTGGCAGCCGGGACGTTGCCTTCTAGAGGGCCTAGTGTTACGGACTCCGCCAGGGCTCGATCCCTGGTCTATCTTTTTGCTGTTTCGGCTGCATCCCGTTTGCGGCCTGGCACCCTTTTTCCAAACCCCTCCTTTGGTACCGTAGGATTTTGGACAACTGGCGCCATGCTGCAATTCGGGCGCCACTTTCAAATACCACATTTTTCAGTTCTGCCCTCGGGGCCTTTGCAGAAATGCCCCTGGTACCGTACGTGTCACCGGTACTTATACCGGCTCCCCGTATGGTACGGGGACCAGTCTGGTACCAGTTTTCTGCTGCTGTACTCGTACTCAGTGTGACTTGCTGTTTTGGCCTTCGAAACCAAGACTTCGACTTTGTGCCTCAGCCCCTGGTTTGCGTCCGGTCGAGTTCAGTCGCATGAGTGTGTGTGTGTGCTCTCACTCTCTCTCAACCTCTGCACCCTCCTCGTCCTCTGCCTCTGCGCTCGTTACAGAACCAGTGTATGTGCACAGGAGACCTGGACCTGCCCTCCCTCAATGCGAACGGCCTGGTCACAGCAGGGTCATAAAAGTGGCAAGCGATTTGGGAGCTGATAAGGAGGGTACTGGGGAGGACTTGGGCAGTCCTGGTCTATATGTAGGAGACCTACCTCATGGATACTCCTGAACACAACCGCATACATAAATCAATCTGGCCATCAGAATCACTAAAAAATGAAAGGCAAATCTGGCGGCCCATATAGGACTGAAGAGGTGGTTTTTGCTCCCATTGAACTGATTGCAAATACCCATACTTGCGGCGCACTTAACCGGTGCGCCGTGCGCCATGCGCTCACGGGTGATGTGTGCGCACTGGCAGTGCGCTGTAGTGTGGCCGAGTGACCCCCATGCCCGCGCACCTGCGGATGTGCCGTACTTTTTTTTTTTTTTTTGTGTGTGTGTGTCCCTTGATACAGGCGTGTTTGTCTGCTGTGCCACGACATCATTCCCCTGACACCATCGGGCCGAACAAAACGCCTGTATCAACGGACACTATTGATTCTCGACAGAGGGCGTTTTGTTCAGCCCTATAGGCCGTTGCTTTTCCTTTTTTTTTTCTTATTTGTTTTTGTCTTATTTTCGAAATGGTTACACATGCACAAAAGACTAAAATATGGCGGTGTATCTTTCCATCTTGTAGCGGAAGATTCACTCTCATTTTGCACATTTAGAGAGTGGAGGAGCGAGGGCCATACAACGGTAGCCTGAAAGCCTCTGTGTATCGTTCCAACAGGGCCGACGTGCAGTGTTCCTCCACACTTGAAAGTTCGGAGGGCTGATCGGGGGACGGGCGCAGCGACGGGCGCAAGAGCGCTCCGCGGTGCGCTATCGGTTCGGGAGAACCGATGCTGCTGACGCGAAGGTAGGCACGAGGCCTGACCGGTAGGGGAATTCGCCGAAGCCCTCCTGGCTATGGCCGGGTCACACACCTTCAAGGAATGGTGCGGGGAATGGAGGCGAAGCAGCAGTCGAGATCTAAGCGAGAAGCTATTTCGAGGCATGTAATGTCGAACATGTGGACGAGGCGTGGGGCCATTCGGCGCACACGTTAGTGAGGTGGGACATAGTCATGAGAGTTGCATAGCTACTACTACATAGTCTTCCAGAAGTTTGTGGTATTTGGACAGAGACGTCCCTGGTCGGAAGCGGAGTTACCCGGGAACCTCAAGTCCTGGAGAACGCCGGTTGGTCGGACGGAAGGGTAAGCTTGGTTGTCATGAACCTGACGTAGACTTTTGAAAGGATTTGGTCGCAGCGTGTAAGCCCTAACCTTATCGTACGAGCCTTCATTTAATACCTGACACGGGATTGAATAGAGGCTACACCGACCGCTAGGTCTCCTATTCATATACTTGAATTGGAATGCTTTCACTAACACCCTTCACTTCTCACTATGGTATCGGCTGTCTTGTTCTCCTCTGAGTAGCAAGCAGACTTGGTATAGTCGACCTTTTGGGGGACGGGCTGGCGAAGGGTGGATAAGCCGCTGTCAGGCAAAGGGCCGGTTCTTGAATTACGTTGAGCGATAGGATAATTTCTTAAAATAGTAATTCAGTGCAAGCATACGAGTTCTGGTCACGGGCCACACTGTCTGACATCCCGAGTGGAGGGTAAGTACAGGCTCGAGTGGCCGGAAGATAGCCATGAGATCGGTAGCACCGAACCCACCTCCGCCCCAGGGGACGAGAGGAGGCAATCAACCGGCCCAAGTCCCAGGGGAAGAAGATGATAAAACGAGAATCAAAACCCTGCTGGACATGTGCTATGACGATGGGCTGTTCCCGGAAACAAACCTAAACGTCGGGGTAACCGAGGTAATTGATGGGGTAGGGTACTTAACGCTGAGTGATGAATTTGATCAGGCTACGGTCAACAAGCTAAAGGCAAGAACGGTAATAGTAATTTTCGACGAACCTGCCGCTTCCCTAAACATCAACCAAAGGGAGCAACTGATCCGGGTGTATGAGGATGCTTGGTATTTGGATCCGAATGTCAACCCATCTCAGAAGAGGGGAAGGATACATGGGGAGGGTCCAAACGTGACCTCCTATGTGGCACGGTCAACACGAATAGCAGAATGGTTGGTGATAAAGGGGGAAGATAGGATACCCATGCGCAATGGATCGGTCAAAGTGTTATTTAAACCCTGGATGACTAAACATGAGCTGGACACAATGAGAGATAACGAGCTTGCAGGGAAATTTCGGGTGATTGCACTGAGAGTCCCATTAGAAGCGCTGCCCTCTCTGCGTTTTGCGGTTGAATGTTTCATGGGGAGAGTATTAACTGTACACCCACCTGAGAGGAGACCAGAGGAACCGTGATCAGGAAACGTTAGAATTGACTGTGCACCAGAAGTGAGGGATTCTTTCATGGAATGGGTGGTGGTTAGGAAACCGACGGGGGGTCATCTGGAGGTGCAATTCACAAATCAGGACTCACCCTTCTGTCAGAAATTTCTATGGTGGTTTCACGATGAGTTTGACCCAGACTGCCCGAAATTCAATGACCCAATGCCAGAGGGTAGGAGAGCAAGAGGACGAGGAGGGAGAGGCAGAGGGAGAAGAGGTGGCTTAATAGGAAAAGGAGGAGGGGGAAGAGGGGGAGCAAGGGAAAATGGACAAGTAAGAGGGACAACAGGAGCAACGAGAGAAAGGAGTAACAGCGCCGGAAGGGGCACCCTACTCCTGAGGTGGGTCAGCAGTGCACCACGTGCTCCAACGCATCAGACCTCTGATAGCCCAGACCGCTTTGACTCCCCGAGAGTCAGAGCGGACAGCGTGACCCCAGTCTGGTCAACGCTCCGAAGGTCTGGCTATGTCCGCCGTCTCCACCACCGGAATCAGCAACCACGACCTGATACCGTGTGCGCAGCAGCTTCCACCACAAAGTGTCAACTGCCAAAAGCCCTGGACCGGTGTCCCCATCCTACCTATACTCTACGCTAGCCTAGACCGACCTAGACCGGACTGACTGACCGACCGGTACCGTTTCAGTTTCGGCCTCTCGGGCCTCTCCCTACCCAGCTATAGGCTATAGGGCCGTCTATCAGCATAGGCCCATAGGGCTTGTCTGTCCTAGGGGGAGAGACGGTTAACGGGGGCCCAAATATTCGTCGTTTTCGTTGGCAATTGCGGTGCAAATTTCATCAAAAATTTTAAGAACAAACGATATGAGACCATAGTGCAAACATCAAAAAAGGAAACAGGCCAAAAAGAACGAAAAAAAAAAACAAAAAAACACTATGAAACCCTAACACAAAGACACTGTCCGAGTCAAAATGAAGCGTCCAACGAATTCAACAAAATGCCAACTTTTTCATTATTGATCCAAACATGTCAAAACTGCACACATGACGTACCCTAAAGCACATATATATCACACAAAAAGAAAAACAAGAAAAAGAGCAAAAAATCAACACGATATGACAATTTCAGTGCAATTCGGTGCAAAATTCGTCGAAAATAACACCCCTGGTTAACCACGTGTGTCGCAGTTAGGGTCGCTGTTAGGAAAGTCGGGTTAGTACAGGGCTATATTTCTACATTTACAAATATGTCCCTCACGAATTTCCCACACAGGCAGGTCTCTCGGTTAGCCCTCAGCCAAACAAAATTACGAATCTACCTCTACCTAGAGTACAGCCTCGTCAGAGTGAGGCTACAGGCAGCATGAAAACAGCAAGTCATTGCAGACCTACCCTCCCCCGGAGCGAGGACCTCCGAGCTAGGGGCGTAGGCGTGCAGAGCATCGAAGGGACTCTCCCTTCTGCGCAGCCTCATATTTGAGGATAATCGACTTTGCTGTTTTCAGGAGCTCCTTGCGAGTGAACCAGCGATCCTCAGTATGAGGCTGGTAGAGGAACTTCACAAGGTACTCCTTATCCAGACCTGTACCATACTCATCCACAACTTCTTCCACCTCATATCCCTTCCCAGGGATTGGGGGACCGAACTGTGGAGGCCTGTCTGGAAATGCATCAGCTGGCGTAAAAGGCAACAGCTTGGATGCATGGAAGACAGGGTAGGTTTGTAGATGCAGTGGGACATCTACATGATAGGATGGCCCGAAGGGGTCAGCCCCCACTGTATCCAAAACCTGCCATGGACCCATATAGCGCGGCAGCAGCTTAGGCGAGATGTCCTCCTCCCGCGATAGCTCGGAACTGAGTACCCAGACCCAGTCACCAGATCGAACGGGGGATGGTCGACGATGCTTGTTAGCCTGCTGGATCATAGCCTTTTGGGCTTTGAGCAGGTTAACTCGGGCTCGTTCGATATCCCTCTGGTACTGTCTGGTGAACTCTGCAGTCCCAGGAGTCAGTCTGGGGGTAGCCTTGTCGATGATGTCATCGAGAGGCTGCCGTGGCTCACGTCCCGAGTGCAACCGGTAAGGGGTGAACCCTGTGGAGGAGTGTACAGACGTGTTGTACACTAGCTGTGCCCGTCCTAGATGGAGATCCCAATCTTGCTGATCAGAGCTGATCACAGGACGCAGCAACTGAAACAGAATCTGATTCATCACTTCAGCCTGCCCATTGGCTTCAGGATGATGACCAGATGTCATGTTCAGCCTGGAATGAAGGTAGTCCTTGCAATAGGACTGCCATTCGTTGCTGCAAAACCGCGGATCTCTATTGCTGATGATGGAGGTGGGTGGTCCATGATGAGTAACCCACCTATCAGCAAAAGCGGCCCGTACGACCGGGACTCTGGCTTCCTCTGGCAGGGGAATAAACTCTGCATGCTTAGAGAACCTGTCGACACTTACCATGACCAACGCATACCACGAGGAGTAGTCCTCCCCAGATCAGTAAAGTCAATAGCTACTGATTGTGCGGGTGCGTCAGGGATGGGAAGTGGCTGCAGTAGGCCAAGGGGAGGCCGACGAACGACCTTGTTCCTTTGGCACAACTCACAGGTTTCAACATAATGCAGCAGGTCTTTCCTCATCTCAAGCCAGAAGAACCGCTGCGACAGGGCTGCTAACGACTTCAAGGCCCCAAAGTGGCCACGCGCATCATGACACTCAGACATCATGAGTGTTCTCAGCGGGTGGTCCTGAGGGATGCACAGACGCTCCTCTCCTCTGCTGCAAGTATACAGCAGATCTGAAACCAGAATATACCCTGGTTCAGAGGCAGGATCAGTCTGTAGATTCCTAACGATCGAGCCAAAAGTCGGGTCCTGCGGCAATAGCTGGGCAATGGTCTGACGGGTACTCTCCCCAAAAGTATGAGTAGAGGAGATCATACAAACAGCGTCAGGCCTACGAGAAAGGGCGTCTGCTACGCGATTGTAGCAGCCCTTCTTGTGCTTCAGTTCAAAGTCAAAGAGATCAATGAACTGAATATAGCGCGCAAGCTTGTCATTCAGTTCCCCTTGGGTCTTCATCCACTGCAAGGTGGAGTGATCCGAATAGATCTGGAAGTGTCTGCCCATGAGGAAATGCTTCCAATGCTTTAGCGCTGACACTAGAGCGTACAGCTCTTTCTCGTACGTGGAATCCTGCAGCTTCTTGACTTTGATCTTCTTACTCATGTACTCAACTGGCTGCAGACCATGCCCACCATCCTGCTGAAGTACCGCCCCAACCCCATACTGACTAGCATCTGTAGTTAGTACGAAAGGCAAGGTAGGGTCAGGTAGCTTTAGAACAGGTGCACGCATCAAGGCCTCCTTGAGGCGTGTGAAAGCCTGTTGACAGTCTGATGTCCAAAGAAAGTGGGTGTCTTTCTTTGCAAGATCAGTCAGGGGTGCAGCAATAGCAGAGAAGTTCTTGACGAACTTCCTGTAGTATGATGCAAGGCCCAAGAATGACCGGACATCACGAACTGTGGTAGGTTGTGGCCAGTCCTGAAACGCTGCAATCTTAGGCGCTTTAGGAGCCAACCCTTCCCCAGAGATTACATGTCCCAGATAAGTCACAGAGGTCACTCCAAAGGAGGACTTTTCCCTGTTGATCTTATACTGGGCCTCATGTAGTGCCTGGAGGACGAGAGCCAGATGCTGCGCATGCTCCTCGACAGATCGACTGAATACCAGGATATCATCCAGGTATACAACTACAAATCTGTCCAGGTAAGGCCTGAGTATGCGATGCATTTCTATCTGGAACGTGCCAGGGGCATTGCAGAGACCGAAGGGCATGACCAGGTACTCATAGGTGGCGTATCTGGTCTTGAAGGCAGTCTTGTGGACATCGCCTTCAGCCATCTCAATCTGGTGGTAGCCAGATTTGAGGTCGATCTTGCTGAAGATTGTGCAACCCTGCACCATGTCCAGCAGATCATCAATCCTAGGAAGGGGCTCTGTAGACTTCCTAGTGATTTTGTTGAGACCTCTGTAGTCCACACACATTCTGAACTCTCCATTTCCCTTTCGGACAAACAGAAATGGAGCCCCAAATTCAGATGTGCTAGGTCTGATCCAGCCGTTGCTGGTCAGGGTCTCAAGCTGTCTCCTGAGCTCATCAAGTTCAACAGGTGACATCCTGTAGCCACGGCCCTTGAAAGGGACCGCACCTGGCAGGAGCTCAATCCTGTGCTGGGTCTGCCTATGGACAAGCCCAGTAGGCTCCTGCATCAGGTCTGGATATCGGTCCAAAACCTACTGAATCGGTGAGGGACAAGGAGCAACATCCACACTAGTTTGTTTCACATATGCCACGAACAGACGTGTGTGGGCAGTCTGGCGAGAGAGCTGGAAAAACTCGGTGTGCCCTCATACAATAACAACTGATGACTGGATGATACTCATCAGCTAGGACACAAGGCTGATAGTCTCCTCTACAGTCAGGAAGCTCTACCCTAGGGATCTGTCAGTCGATCCTAGGGTTAGTGGCCTCAAGCCACTGCATGGAAAACACAAGATCAAAGGGGCCATTGGGAAACACATAAAAGTTCAGGCGCTGCCTGACCTTCTCATGCTTGTCAAAGATAACCGGAAGGTTCCTGACAACATATGTAATCCGGACTGTGGAGGAGTCCCCAATTCAGACTTCCAATGGCTGCTGCAACTTCACCAATCTCCCATCCAGATGCAGCTTGCTGACAGCCTTGGGAGAGATGAAGTTCCGGGTAGCCCCACAATCTAACAGGCCCTTGATCTTGGCTCTCAAGATAGAGGGTCGCAGCAAGATGAGGTTTGGCTTGTGCTTTTTCTTTTCCTGCAAAGACAGGAAAAGATCCGCAAAAGTCTGACTATCATCTTCCTGCCACGTCTCATCCAGGTCAGGGTCCATGTAAGTGAAGGATCCTGACGCAGCAACTCCAACAACAGAGTCAGTGAGGGTGGATGCAGAATCAGACCCATCTGAATCTGATTCAGCATAAGTGGAGGGAGCTGCAGACTCCACTTCCCTCTGCTAGCCTAGTTTTTTGGACTAGTACCAGGTCTGCGAGGCATGTGGGGACAGTCCTTTAAGAAGTGGTCCCCCTCACAGCGAAAACAAACCTCACGGTCCTTCCTCCTCTGCCACGGTCCTTCCTCCTCTGCCACTGCCCTTCCTGGATCCTGAGCGCTCTCCAGGGAAGGGTGGAAGGATCCATGACGTTGACTGGCCAATGGACGTCTCGTGGAAGGTTAGGTCTCTGGGCCTGAGGGGAAGTGGCACGTCCCTTCCCTTTCCCCTTCTGGCTGGCTGAACCCTTGCTGCTGTCTTTGCTGAACTTTCCCTTGAACATTGCAGCAAGATTCTCAGCCAGGGCAAGAACGGCTGGCTCAACTGCTGATCTAGATGCAGTCTCAGATGGAGTACTGCCACGCTCAAATGCATCAGAATCAGAACCTGCATCAGCAGCCAACAAAGCGCCTTTCCTCCTGCGCTGTCCCTGGGAGGTAGGCCTCTTCCTTCCTTCAGAAGGAGTCTGAACCTTGAGCCGAGACTCCAGGTCCAGTGCCGCTTTGCCAAAGGACCTCCAGTCCTTGTGGCCCTGAGCATATAGTGCAATAGAGTAGTCTGGAGGGGCGGCACGCAGGAAATGGGTGAGCTGGTCAGACTCACTCATCTCATCGGGTGTAGATGTCAAGCTCTCAAACATACTGTAGAGCTTGGACAGAGAGCCCTCAAATATGTGGGACCCCAGCAGCATAATTTTATCAGCTGCCTTGCGGGCCTGCTCCCTGTCAGCAAACCGGTCTTGCAGCGCCTTCAGCAACCCTGCCACCCCGAGCTGTTGTGCCCATCTATCCATAGCAACATTCTCTTTGGTTGTAGAGGAGGTGCACCATTTCAGTGCAGACCTCTCCAACCGGCCAAGAATGGTCCCCACCTTTGTTGCTTCTGGGCATGTAAAGCTGCCCAGATATGCTTGCATAGCGGTGACCCAGTCTTTTGCATCCACCTTGGGGTCTTCTCCAGAATACATAGGAGGTGGTGTCAGTTTGGGCCCTCACTGCACAGATGTACCAGAAGCGACAGAGGGGGTGGATGCATGGGAACCAGCAGGTGAGGCTGGACGACTGTGAGGTGGTGAACCTGCTGGCCAAGTAATCTGCTGGCCAGCTGGCTGTACAGGCTGGGGGGATAGGAGAGGCAGCTTCAGGTGCTGCAGAATGCTGTTCATCCCTGTTGCCAGAGAGGTCAGGTCCTTTGCCATCTGATTCCACCTTGTGTTCGATGGCAGAGACCTGGCTCTCCACAACAGTGATCCGGTGGTCCCAGTTGGAAAAATAAGACCGGCTGAGTGTGTCGTTCAAGAGGACCAACTCAGCAATACTCTTGTTATACCCACTGGCGGAACCACTGTCAACAACTTTTTGCACCTCCCCCAACAGYTGTCTCCTCCTTTGCTCCTGCTTGCCCGCCTCCTCAGCTCCCTCTTTCTCTTTCCTGAGCTTGGCGATCTGTTCATCCACTTTTCGCCTAGCTTCCTCAGCAATCAGGAGTGCCTGATCCAGGGGAGAAAGAGGAGACTCAGGAGTGGCAGAAGTTTTTGCCGCGGTCTTTTCTTCAGACATCTTCCCTTCAGCGTCAACCATGATAGTCCACTCACACAGTCAATAAATATAAACAGACAAATAAGAGGTAAGCAGAGATGAAGATTACACACACACGCAGAGGTAATCACTGCCACCTGATGAGAAGAGACGTGGTGTTATGGGCAGAAGAGCGGTCAGCCTCTGTAGGTTGTTGAGGGTCACCCTGGGTCAGTTTAGGTCAAAACCAGATAAAATCAGATTTGCGATTTTTCATTCACAGCGCAGAACCCTCATCTGAGTGATTATCCCCAGAATCGCTGTTAGAGAGATAGACAGGATGCAACCTTGGACTGTAAGTAGGCAGATTAGAATAGCGCAGAGAGTCAGTAGCAATTCCCAGAACCCAGTAGTCAACCAAGATGCAGCGGGTGACTGAACAAGCTAGTTTTTTTAGACTCCTACTACTGACACTGGCACTGTAGGACCCTGTATGCCCCACTATGGGTGAGGCGAAGTACAGATTTCACTGTACCTGACTCAAAACATCAAATCCAGTATAGCGCTTTCAGACACTGACTAAATACTCAATTGCGATTTCAGGGTGACTGACAGATTGAAATTCTGACGGACATAACCTAAGTTATGACAAACCCTAGCTGCCCCAAGCACTGACTATGGCAGCGCAACTTTCAGAATTTCATTATCACTGACATACAGACCCTGAACTACTCAATTCACAGTGGGTACTGAATCGCAATACTGTAACACAGTCTGAGATGCAATTTGAGACAGAAAGGAGGTCAAACAGAGTCAGTAGAAGTCAAAGTAGGTAGGTAAGGGAAATGGYTATGGCTGTCAGGCAGTGCGATTTTCAAGTTTCACTGACAACAGACATACAACTACTATTTCCCCAGTCTAATTACACTCATCAGACTCGCTACAGAGACTTGGGTAAGGAACACACTTACTTCAGGTCAAAACACTGCATGAAGAGACTGAACTGGCTATGGCTGCCATCTCGCCAGTTTCTTCCATCCACTGTTCCTGGTGCTCCCACGTTCAAAATCTCCTGAAACCTGGTGATACTGAAGCTCTTGATATGGCGAATAGTCCCCACTAGCCAAATTCACTGAACCTGGTCCAGAATTTGCAACTCGACATACCCCCAGGTATCTCGCCACCAGTGAAGTCAACGCCTGGGCTAAAAATAGCCCCTCAGTGCCTCCCAGGCCACTGAGCACTGAATCGCCACCAATCACTGTGTCATACCCCTCAGGAGGAAGAGGGAATATCGAGAGTGGAGTCGGGGGAAGAAGAGTGGAGGGGGGAAACAGAGGCGGAGAGGGAGGTGGAGGAGGTAGGGAAGGGGTAAGGTTGGCCGCGGGTACTGGAGGTGGAGGGCAGATGGCGGGGGCAGGAAATGACAGGAGAGGGGGGGTGGGCCATCAGCCCGAACCAACTGTGCAAGGAACTCAATCAGGGACTTTGCCCTCAAATGCTCTAGTACCCTACGCTCAAATCACCGCTCCCATGCAGACGATTGCCAGGGCTTTGGGACCACCCCTCCCCGCCCCGCAGGTGCAGGGATACGGGGGGTAGGCTCACGCTTTGGCATTTAGGGCCCTGAGACCACCCCCACCCGCCCCACAGACGCAGGGATACGGGGGGCAGACTCATGCCTGTGTGTCTCATCCTCACCCTCATCCCGATCCCCCCCTGGTTCAGTACCTAAATCCCGAAGGTTTGCCGGACCTCCCCACGCTAGAGAGTCCCACCCGATAAGGTATCCTTCTACCCCCGGGGCTGGTCACCTACAGGTGACAGGACGGACAGAAAGCACATGGAATTATAACCCGTTATTTGGTTCGGACCCTGGGCAGACTCAAATATTGGCCACACACCCGAGACCGATTGGGGTAGGGACCGTTAACAGGCATGGGTCCATGGTGCCAATAATGGGATCGACTTTGGAGATCCCGGGTCAGGTACACATGTCGAGAACGAAGGTGAGAGAAGGGGCATCAGGGGCTAATCAAATCCCCGGTAATTTGTTCCCAACCTCCACTCACCACCCTTCGGGGACAAACGGCCAGCACTCATCTTTTGTCACAGTTCATATTAATTATGAGTTCAACAGAGAGGATACATTGACCGAAGCACAACAATCTGCGGGAGTAAGGGTGGAGGGACAGGTAGACGCAGTAATGCCCCCGCCAAGGGATCAGCCAATGAGAGACCCCGGAAATCGACTGTCAGCGTTGGCCCCAGTAAAAACGAGACGGGTAGGTGAGGAGGGAACCAGCGAACCTACAAGGGAAGAGGACGATGGAGAGGTGGACAGGATGTGGAAGGAAACCTTCTGGAGGCTGTGCCCATCCCGGTCACACGGGATCATCCGCGCTCTCCTTCATTCATTCAACGCGCAGACTGATCTGGCAGAAGACACGGAAACAATGGCTGTTTACGCCACTACCTACTACAGTGACATCCTGACGTCGCGCCGGGCCCCAGACGAGTCCCTGGAACAACTCCGGACAGAGCAGGATCTGTGGCAATTCACAGATAAGCAGTTGGCGATGGAACAAAGACACTCCTTGGATCGACCGGTGACAATAGAAGAGCTGAAAGAAGGAGCGGGTTGTATGGCCAAAGGGAAAGCCCCTGGAGACGACGGCCTTCCCGTGGAGTTCTTTCTAGCCACGTGGGAGGTGGTGGGACCGATCCTAGTGCGGTTATTCAACAGGGTGCTAGAAGAGGAAATGTTGACGGAGGACATGTGCAGAGGGGTTATCACCCTTTTGTACAAGAAGGGGGACAAGAGAAACGTGCGCAATTGGCGTCCAATCTCCTTGTTGAATGTGGCGTATAAGATTCTCGCTAAAGCCTTATCAAGGAGATTGGCCCCGCTCCTTCCGGAGCTGGTAAACGCAGATCAAGGAGCCTTTGTGAAAGGGAGATCTATAACGGAGAATATGCTAGCAGCGATGGGCGCGCTGGAAATCATCGGAGGCGAAAGACGTCAAGTAGTGGTGGCAATGTTGGATTTGGAAAAGGCGTATGATCGTGTCAATTGGTCTTTTGTGTTGGCCACGCTGGAACACATGAATTTTGGAATCCCATTCAGAAGGTGGATAGCCATTGTTCTGGCGAACGGCAGGCGCTCGCCGATCTTCAATCTGTCGCGCTCTCTGCGTCAAGGATGTCTGCTGGCCCCGATGTTGTTTGTATTGCAGATTGAAGTAGCGCTGAATGATATGCGGGCTGCTTCCATGCTCAGAGGACTGAAACTGCAAGACAACAAAGAGTTTCTGACAGGGGCTATTGCGGACGATCTGCTGCTGGTTGCAGAAGCCACTCCGGAATCAATGAATGCAGCAAAAAGTGTCCTGGATCAGTACTCTCGGCTGTCTGAAGCAAAGGTCAATTGGGACAAATCCTTGTACTTCCTACCCCAGGAATACGAGTTGGAGAATGATTGGATGATGAAGAGAATCCAGCCTGAAGAGGCGGAGCGGTACCTGGGGGTACAAGTCTCTCTGACAAAGAGCAGGCCAGCCCAAGATCTAATCTTGGCAGCTAGGGTCGAATCGGAAATCAGGGCTTGCAGAGCGGCCACAGGGCTCTCACTGTTGGGAAGAGCCTCGGTGATTTCCACATCAGTGTTCTCCTTGATTTGGCATGTAGCAGCAGTTATTCTCATTTCAAGACAAACGCTACGCAGAATAAGGAGTATGGCGGCCCACTATTTGTGGAAGCCGGAGGGGGAACAAGAGGGAGGCATTTCCAAGGTGGCCTGGGATAAAGTTACCCAGCCAAAAGAGGAAGGAGGGTTGGGCATTGTGGACCCGGGGAGGCAGAATATTGCTTTGCTGGGGAAGTGGGCTCAGAAGTGGCAGTGCAGGGGGAAGAAAGGGGATGGTTGGGAATCATGACATACATACTCCAGAAAGAGTTCCACCTGAGAAGAAGCTCAGACGTGTGGGTATGCATGCAGAATCCGGCCTTCCTGAACCGCAGACCCAGGTCTGCAATCGGACTGGCATGGTGGATAGCATGGAAAAAACTCCGTCCCACGAAGCCCCACGATCCACAGTCAAGGGAGGAGATACTCTGTCAACTTTTGTTCGACAACCCAGCGACTTCCATTTCTGGCCAAGTCTTCTCTGCAACCGACCAACCTGGCAACTTTGGTAAGAAGTGGAATTGAGAGGGGAGTGTCCAGAGTGGCAGATTTGTGGGCGGAACCTGAATTGGAATGGAAATCAGAGGAAGCTCTCCAGCAGTCATTGGGGCGTATTCACAGGGTGGGGGAACGACTACAGTTTCTGATTCAAGCTATTCCAGGAGCTTGGAAACACAAACTATTGGTAGGCGCCAAGCTGGAGGAAGGGGTGTGGTATAAGAGAAGTGTGAATCAGGGGAGGCTAGATGAAGTGTATAAGGTGGAAGCGGAGGAGGATTCGGACTCGGACTTAGTAGAGGAAGAGGAGGCTAAATGGGTGACGGTCTCCAGGTGGAAGGTGAAGGAGGGGTACGGGGGAGAGCAGGCACTGACCCGGGTTTCAGAAATGGAGATTAATTCGAATACGGACCTGATGGAAATCAGGGTCCTCCCGAAGTCAGACGGGGGAGGCAAGAAAGGGATGGTTACAGTTCAAGGGGGGGCTGCCTTACAAGATCTGAGAATAGACCCAGGCAGTTGCGTGTGGCAGGAGCACTCAGCAGTTAAAAAGAATTTAGTGCAATATAACACGAAGCTAGGTAGAACCCTGAAACATTCTAGTGCCTCGGTTATCACGGAAGTAGGGCAGAGGACCACCAGGGAGTTACATCTGTTGACTCCAATGTCGGTCATAGAACTCAAAAGCTTATGGTCGCAACTGTTCATCCTCCCAAGCCTCAAGCTTTCCGGCCTACTATGGTTGTTATCCCACTCTGCAGTTCCTACCGCTAAATGGCTCTCAGCAAGAGGAATGGAGATCCAAATCACGGGCAGAAGGTGCGGAAACCGCAACGAGGAGACGCTGTTTCACCTAACCTGGGAATGCCCAGCTTCTAATCGTATCTGGAGATGGTGGTCAGTTCACTGGCAGAAGCTGGGCTCGGCCTTGCAGTGGGACCAGAATTGGGTGCTCACAGGCAGACTCCCTCCCCTATTTTTCAAAAGCAAGGGATGGGGTTACATGGCACAGGCCATTCGCTCGGCAGTGATGTGGGTAATCTGGGAGGATCGAAACAACATTCTGTTTCGAAGAGAGTGGACGTCTGATCAGGGAATCAAGGCGAAGATCAAAGCCATCATTCGGACCATGATCGTGGCTGACTGTGTGCGGAAAGCTGACAATGGAAGAAGTCAGAAAGGAAAACAGTGGTTTCTGTTCACATGGGCTAGAGGTAGCCAGTTAGCAGCGGTGACCGTGGAGGGTAAGATGGTACTGTCCCCCTGGCTGAGTGGTAAGTAGGTAGGATACATAGTTTGGTTGGGGTAGGATTAAATTACCTGGCCTCTCGGTTTTCGGCCTCGAAGAAGGAGGCAGATTCGTTCTTTTTTTAGAGAGGTACCATCTTCCAGCTGAACCGGGTTAGGTTCAGGGAGGCCAGTTTTAGGCCTCTGAGAGTGAGGTCGGGGAGGGAGTCTTGTAACGTAGAAGGCATTGGGGAGGGGAACTGTCAGTCCAGAGAAAAGTAGGGTCAGTAGATATAGGTAGGTGGGGAGATATAGGATTGGGAAGGAGTAGAAGGGGACAATTAAGTTTGGCCAATGTGGACTCCAGAAGCTAAACCGGCTGATGCTGCCGGGATAACTCCGGGT